CCTTGGTGGAAGAAGCATGGCTGTCAGCAGACAGTGAAGAGGGGCAGGAAGTCCAGCTGTCCCCTCACTCGTGGGAGATTTCTCCCAAGACCCCCAGTGGATGCCTGAAGCTGAAGATAGTACTGACGCCTGTGTGGACTGCAGGCCACGGAGGGGGCGTTCGGGGGTAACAGCCAACGATCCAGACCAGAGGGTCATGGATCAAGGGCAGTCTGTCTCCCAGAAACTCAGCGATTTTCAAAGAATCAAGGTCCTCTGGTATATCCACCTGCAAGCTATCAGACTAAGCAACCAAACTTTGGGTAAACCAGGGAGGCATGGCGGTCTGCTCTGGGTGAACTAGACACCGCATGCTCTGCGAGGGTGTCTGTTATGGAAACCCACACCTCCTGAGGGCTGACGCGGACCCCCAAGGGCAGTGGCAACGACAGTCCTCAGCCGCCCATCCTGGCCAGGTCTGGATCCAGACTTCTCAGGGCTCATCCGCGCTCTCAGTACTGAGCTCTTTTGGCCGGAAATCACAACAGTGAACTGGTGTAGCGAGTCCTTCCTTTTCCTTATAGGACCCAGCCAGGGGAACGGGAAGAAATCAAGGGCTTCGGAACGCCACCTCACCTTATCTTATTAACGATCGCAGAGATGACACTCACCATGTTCCGGTCACTTTCAAAGCGCGTTATAAGCATTAGCACACTGAATCGTATAGCAGCTCTATAAGACAGGTCTCGTTACTGTCCTCATTTTACCCATGAGGACACTGGGGTCAAGAGCCAACTTGCCTAAGGTCACACAGCTAAGAAGTAGCAAGGCCAGGATTTGAACCAAGACAGGCTGACTCCAGAGTCCATGCTCTTGAATACTATGCACGGACACAGGTGTGTCCATACTTGCACTTGTGTATGTGTCTACGTGTGTGTGCCCATGTGGATGCACATGTGTGTCCACGTGTGCCCACGTGTGTGCGCGTGTACTCGCAGAGGATGTCCAGTGTGCGACTGAGTTACTAGACAAGTGCTCTGACCCAGCAGAGCCCCCAGGTGGAAGGAAAGGCCTAGGGATCGCCTCCTTCCTCCTGCCATTCCTGCAGTTAGGACCAGTCTCTCAATCCATGGTCCCCAATACTTTCTTCATACCCACTCTACAGGGAACATGGGTACCAGAGTCCTGTCCTCCCATCACGAGGAAATTTTACATGTTATTTGAGCACCTGATCCAGCACTGTGCCTGCTGACTCAGATTCCTGCTCTGCCAGCTGACCTAACCTCCCCGATTTTGGCTTTCACCTTGATACTTGCTCAATGGGCCTCCTGACATACACCAACTGACTTCCGGGAGTAGCCACAGCCTAAGGTGTGTTCTTTACTCACAGGGCCAGATGCTAGCAGAGAGGGGTATGACATGGGAACATCCCCCTTCCTCATCGGATTCTGTGAATCCCCTGTGCAAGATCATCCCGCTGGCTTCTGTTTCAAAGGACCACGCGCGCACATTCAAGCCTGCTGTTCCGACTCCCTACTGAGCTCATAGAGTGTGGTCCAGTCCAGCCTTGCTGCCCACATAGGACTGAATGCTTCTCGCTTCTCAACACACACCCAGCACTAATTAGCAACTGTGAGGCCCATCGGCTCCTGCTTTCCCCAGAGGGCCCCGGCTGCCTTCCTGCCTACCTTCCCGCACGCCTCTCCGCCCCGCCTCTGGGCCTGCCGCACCCGCGTTCCAGCACCCGTGTTCCATTCCGTCACCTCAGTGGAATCAGCAAGCTCCCCATGAGTCCTTTAGTTTCCTCTGCGCTTCGAAGTTGACCTTCCCTTCCCCTGGGAGAGGGGGACAGGGAGAGGCCTGCCGGCTTAGGGGTCTGCTGTCTTCAGGCTTGGAGACTGCAGAGAGGCATGTGACATAGCAACACCCCCTTCCCTGTCTGACACCTTCCGGGGCACCGGTCAGCACTCAGACAATGTCTCGTCCTTCCACGTGGGCTTTCGATTCCATTCCCGTTTTCTCCTCAGGACTCTATAATCAATTCTGGCCACTCTCTTGGATGTAAAACCTCTCTTTAAAAAAAAAGCAGACTCCAATACATTTTAATAAAAAAGCTTTCCTCAATCTGAATTCCTTTTCCAACTACGATTAGAGCGAAAAGAAGCAAACCTTGAGGAACCCCAATATTAAAAAGTTAGGGAAAGCTTTTCAACATATAGTGCTGGAAAG